AAATTTCTCGACTTCCTTGGGAATTGAGTATGATTGTACTTTGCAAACAATTATACCAATGCTAAAATGGTACAGGCATTGAAAGCTCTCGATTAATAACTGTGGAAGTACATCAAGAACACTAAGTTAAGAGCTTATTGCGTGCTCTTATGCGATAAGCAATAAAGCTTAAAATGCGCAGAAGAAGAAATGTAAAGCGGTGCAGCGTGCAGAAATCACCGTCGGGGAGCACGCCATAGCCTCGAAGCGTGAGTTGCAATACCTGGGAGTGACGATCGATGATCGGCTAAACTTCAACAGCCACATCGAATATGCCTGTGAGAAGGCGTCAACGCGATAACAACAATAGGTGTCTTCTGGCCAGTGTGTCGTCATCGATACTAAGGTATGGAGGTCAAGCCTGGGTTGCAGCACTGGAAACGGAACAGAACCAAAGGAAACTGAGCAGTACGTTCCGGCTCATGCATTATGCGTTATTGCAGGAATGATCCCTATCGGAATGATCGGCGGAGGACAGTGACTGCTACAGGCGGAGAGAAGCCGGACAAGTACGGAAAGTTGTGAGAGCGGAGTCGTTGGCTAAGAGGCAACAGGAGTAGAACGGTAGATGGACACATAGACTAATACCGATTCTTTCAACCTGGGTGAACAGAAAACACGGAGAAGTCAACTTCCACCTAATATAGTTCCTGTCTGGCCACGGCTGCTTCAAGAAATACCCGCATCGGTTCAGGCACTCAGCGTCACCCTTCTGTTCGGAAAAGGCAACGTCGATGAAACGCCGGAGAATGTGGTCTTCGACAGTCCAAGGTTCGGGCAGTGCGAAGGGAGATGTCCGTCCTTAACATGGAGAATGCCGTCGATGAAATGTGTTGAGAGGAGAGCACTTGGAATGCCGTCAACAGAGCAGTCAGTAAATGGGGAGAGGTGCAGCGATCTAGCAACGCATGTGATTCTATACGTTCTAAGAGAATTGGAAGAAGTTTTTTTTTGCATGCCGCTTTGATAACCGTTCGAGACTTTTAAATCAAAGAAGAATACTAAGATGAAACAGTCGGAAGAAAAACTTTCTATTTTAGAGTCTTCTTTCACGGTCCCTTTCATCCAATGAATACCCCCCGTATGCAAGGTAATTTTGTGGTTTTGCTGCCCCCTCGGTAGAGATGAAATTTTGCGCACTTTTTTTTATCAAAACAATTCCACCAAAATCAGAGATGTCCCATTTTTTAATTACTCGATTAACAACTTATCGATTATTTTTTGTTCGCTGTGCTGTCATTTTTCCACCAATGAGAGTGTAGCATATGCTTGAAACGATGGGTGATAATCCTCTGGAGAAGTGAATGCTTATATCAGCATTATATAACCGATTAGTTACAAATATTTTACTTTTCGGTTCGTTAATCGATTAATCGATTATTCGAATGAAAATCGGCTATCACTAGATGAATGTGAAACGTCATTTCAAATTCAAGGCCGTACATAAATAATGATACAATTTGAAAGGGACCAAAGCTAATCACAAATTACGTCCCCAGGGTAACTGAAATGAACACAAGTGCGGACCGGTTGTTTAAATTGCGTATTTGGTATGGTTTATGTATTTCACGAGAATTTATCTGGATGTATGCTTGTGATCAGGCCTGAACATATTCATTGCAGCTAATATACTACTTTTCGAAATTATCACACTATCATTTGTAAATGATCCGTCCAGAATGTCACCAGGCCTTACACTGAAGGCCTAACGTATAGCATAAGAAATTGTACATGAGAAATCAAATAGATTTCATTGGACACAAAACGTTCATGTGATGCAGTGGTACAATTTCAAATTAAGTGATCACATGAAAGTTATGTTAAATCCACATGGATATTTTCCACTGCCCAAGAAACAATCGTCTATTGAAGAAACGACTTCTTGGCCATTTTATTCAACTGCATGCTTAATAGTACTTGTACTATTTTTAATAATAGCTTCTGTTCAGGCTTTGTTCACACAAATCTGGAGAATTTATTCAACCCCCACATTGAACTACTTGGTGTTGTATTAAGGTATGTCGAGAAGCTTTTATTCGACTTATATGAGTTGTAACAGAGTTCATACGATAATTTTTTTGATTACTCAGCGTTTATTAGACATCACTGCTTCCTTAAAACAGTGATGCTCTGTATAACGCTTGATTCTCATGTGAAGTAACGTTTAATTAGACATTATTATACATTTATTGAACGATTATTCAACTGTGGGAAAATTAATCCAAAAATAAGAGGGACGGGGACAGGGAAGGGTGTTTTTCTTAAGTGTTGTTTATCCGTTATTTCTGACGTGGCTCGCACCACACAGAATTAGATAATTTATTAAATACTTATACATGTCGTTGTATGGAGTATGGGATTCGAACCATGTACCTTCCGATCACCAGCCGCTTGCCTTGTCATCTGAGCTATCCTAGAATTCATCATATGGGCAATTAAATAATCAATCAAAGCTTGCATGAAAGTAAATACCTATCAGCACTACCGATCGCAACTCTAGCTCCTTGAAGGCCCTGTGGGAATGATTAATTCATTCATCGTTGTTTTGAATGAGAACAATGTTGCCTCTTCACATCTCCAAGTCGAAAGAAAGGATGCTCGGTTATATTTTAAACTAGATCAATGCATTCATTATCGTGAGTCATGTGATGATTACTACTTTACTTTAACTTTAAATTAATTAGGTGTAGAAAAAGAAATAAAAAAAGGGTTAAGCTTGGGATTGAACTCACGACCTTCTAATTGGAAAGCGGAAACGGTAACCACTACTCTTTGAATTGTTTGTTGGGCGGCTATGTGATTTATTTTATGAGTGTACGTTGCATTTAATTTTCAGGATTCTTGATGATATCAAACTCGAGATTAAACTAGCCAACTGACAAAATATTCAGCGAATCACTTCCTTCCTCGGTGCAGCATGAAAAGACTCGTCAATGATACTTTTCTTAGCCATTTATTACCTTCGTCAAGTATAAGGCCTGGCCGTAGATCGAAACGATATTTATAATTAAGTACAGTAAAATTTCATCTTAAATACTATACGAAAACAATAAAAAACTAATCACAAAATAACTTCCAGTTAAAAAAAAACACAGGAAGACAAAACAAAACAAACATTGAATAACAAATCAATCTCTCCTATTAATAGACTTCTCAGACGTTTGTGAATTGCAGAAGCATTAGTGCAGAACTCTGGGAAAATTAAAAGGTTTTCTTGCACTAAACTTATAATTCACCCTAAGTTCTGCACTAATACTTGTGCATTTCACAAACGTCAGAGAAGTCTATAGCAGGAATGAAGAAGAAGAAGTAGAAGAAGAAGAAGAAGAAAAAGGATCGCATCGGCAGTGCATAAACAAGGGTCATTTGTTTTCACGCAATAAGAATTTAAAATTTAGCAGGGTCCGGCGGTTAAGACATAGAGGTAACTCTAAGACCAGAAGGTCCCGGAGAAACGTGTTCAACTAATGAGTCAAGTCAAGTCAAGTCTAGTCAAGTAATGAGCCAATTTTAAATCGTTAGTTTCCACCGCGATGCACCGGTTGGTTAAACAGTATGTCTGTTGAAAATATTTTATTCTGTTAAGCCCTGCACCATTGTAGCAACAATCAATACGAAACTAACGATTTTAAATTGGCTCACTACTTGACTAGCCTATTGGTCACAAGCAAACGATTAACGTATTCCATTCTAGTCGAAATTTTAGTAGTACGCAATGTTTGTTTTGATTCGCTATGAAAGTTTGACAGATAAAATGAGGGGTTATTGGTTTTTCCTATGTTTCGAGGAGTGAATCGATTAGCTTGGGACCGAAGAGAGTACCAGAGCTGAGCCAAAAAGTTGAGCACATTATTTCGGGTCCTTCTAGTCTTAGAGTTACCTCTATGATTGTAGTAAGCATTGATTTCTTTTTTATATAGGGGGCGAACCCGGCGTAGTGGTTAACATCCATACCTCTCACGCCAAAGTCACGAGTTCAAATCTCACCCCCGGACAAGTCACGAATGACCCAAGAGTGTTAAATTGACTATAATAGAAAAAAAAAAAAAAATAAAAAAAAAATAAAAAAAAAATAAATTTTATATAGGGAAAATGGACGCTTATGTGTCGGCCTAAATGCTCCTAATTTGGGCCCATACATAAATTCAGCAATCGACTAAATTTTCAATAGTGACCAAAAATATCCATTAGTACGGTCCCAATGACGCGTTCATCTAGATAAAATTGATAAATAGTTGATTTTTTGCAATGGGCCCAATCTTAGATCCATAGGCCAACATTAGAGCCATTTCCCCTACATTATTTTAATTATGAACAAATTGATGCCATTGGAGTTTTGTAAGCAATTCCCTCGAAGTACGATCAAAATTGCCTTGAAATTATCCTAAGATTTTTTACGGAATTTCATTTGAATCGTCCTCAAAGTTCTGATATTATTTCCCACGAAAGTCCCGTGTAGTTTTCCTCTTTATTCCCATGGAATTTTTCTCAAAACTCGCAGACATTTAAATCAAAATTCTGATAAACTTTTTCATAAAATTCTCTTTAAGTTCATTTCAAAAACTTCCTGAAATTCTCCTCGCATGATCCATGGCATTCTTCTCAGAAGTTCTGGGTCAGTCCTTTCTTGGAATTCTACTCAGAACTACTATTAATACACACTAAGATTATTTTACAGATTTCTATAAAATTTTACCGAAATCTCAACAGCTGAACGTCCGGTAAACAATTTTACAGTTTTCCTGTAATTATTTACAGATATCTGTGAAAAGTTCACAGATATTTGTGGAAAATTATAGGAAATTTTCTAAACTGTTTACCGAACGTTCAGCTGTTGAGATTTCGGTAAAATTTTACAGATTTCTGTAAAAAATTGTTAGTGTGATCCTCGGAATTCTCCTCAGTGATCTCACCTTCGAATCATGTTTACAGTTGTTAACTTTTTCAAACATTCGTTACAGTGTTCGACGAAGATTTCGTATTCGAAGTCCGACCGGCCACCATAGGCCGTCGCACACTCGAGGTGCTTCTGTTCGACTTTGACGCCTATTCCCGCCACGTGGTCATCGGTGGAGCACAACTTGCGCTGGCGCACGTTGACCTCTCCGATCGGTTGGACGTCTGGCAACCCCTTGGACCCTGCACTGAAACTGTAAGAGTGCCTTCTTTCCTTTCCTCGCCAACTTATTCATTATCTCTTACCGTTGCAGGATATAAAACAAGACCTCGGTGACGTTATGGTTTCCCTGTCATATCTTCCCTCGGTCGAGAAATTGACCGTAGTTATAATCAAAGCTAGGAACCTTCGAATCATTGATGAAACCCGAAGCTCCTCGGACCCCTACGTTAAGGTATCGCTTCACAACTTGGACGGGAAGCGACTCAAAAAACGCAAAACGACCGTAGCGCGGAATACGGTTGCTCCGGTTTACAATGAGGCACTTTCGTTTGACATAGCCAGAGACTCGCTGAAGAATTGCTCCATCGAACTGCAGGTCCTGCACGACAGTCTGCTGGGAAAGAACGAAGTACTCGGCCGGGCTACCATCGGAAGTGGACCGGATGTTAGGCCTGAAGATCGAGCGTTCTTTGACGAACTATTCCGCAATCGGTCGGCCACTGCTCAATGGATAGCACTCTCAGATTGGAAGGCTGCAAAACCAGTAGCGGCAAGCAAATGAAGGGTTTCCCTCGGTGGTGACTTGTATTTTTACTCAGTAGAGCAGATACATTTTTAAGCAAACGTCCAATGTACCTTAATCTATTGCTGATTGTTAACCAGAGGGCAACCGTCAGAAATTTATCGCATTGTTGAATGTTTTAAGCGTTGCTATAAGTATATATATATATATATATATATAGATGTGGCGATTCTTACAAGCATTGAGAGAAGCCCCGCCATGAATTATGTTATGTACACACTTAGTAACGATTTACTGTAGCCTAGACATTCTAAACTTATACACCATCATGATCGTATACTGTAGGCTTGTTTAGTATTCTAAATACGTATCCTTTTACCTCTAGTTGCGTTTCTGACCTGTTATGACACATTTTAAAATATATCTTACATGTCTAAAACCACGATAAAATACACTCACACCAAAGATGGAAAAGGACAGACAAAGGGAAGGGTTTGTAGAGTTCTAGGGTTATAATCTATATAAAAGACAAAAGTAGCTGCTTCTGTGGAACAGGAAGCAGAAGCAGAATATCAAAAATACATATACAAATCAGTATGATAACTCTGAATATTTATTTAGTGTTAATAAAACGCAAATATATACCATAAAGATGGGTATGATTGGAAAATTGTTAAGCTTTGTTTGAGAATCCCTCATCACTAGATAGAACAAAATAAATCTCTGGTCACGTCTTCCTTCGGAAGGGAAGTAAAGCCGTTGGTCCCGGCCCATGTATGTTGTGAATGTGTGCGATATTCTACGCAGGTGTGGAAGCTGCCTTCCTGTACATTCGGTTGTCGTCAATGGATGGCAATCGATGTCCGTCGGTGATTGGCACTAGATTGCGGAACAGAGACCGACGTTAAATAAAGGAAAAGAAAAAGAAGATAGAACAAAATCTTTATCATTTGAATCTTTCCGAGTCAAAGTGGTTCATACGCCATTCCAGCCATTTTCGAGTGTTTCGCATAAAAATGTGTAGCGGCAAATTGGCAATATTTGAATCAATAGCTCAGCCATTTATTGACGGATTTCAAATCTACAGACTTTAAAGATTTATTTGGCATCAATTAGTTTAAAATTTATCGATTTCAAACATTTCTAATTTGCCGTTACTCATTATACCGGAGGCATCGTGTTCGGGATGTTAATGGTATCAAAATGGAATAAAACACTATCTAAATTCGATTTGATTCGTTATTTGGGCCAACTGCCAGAAGGCTAAAATTTGTTTGGGCAGTGCGAATCCTTTGTTGTGGACGAGATTTCACAAAAAAAAACGAATTGAATCACATCGGATTAAAGCAAATTGTTGGAAGGTGAGTGGAAAAAGCAAATCATATAATGTGCACAATTTTTTTTTTTTTTTTTTTTTTTTTAATTTTTTATTTGTTTCAATTTCAAAATAAATTACATTTCATTTTAACCTAGGTGCTCCAGTTACTGCAGTAACGTACCAGCCTTAATTGTTATGATATATATCTAAGTGTTTTTACATTGTTCATGTCTTGGCAATTCAGTATTTTAAACAGGTTTTTTAAACCTGCATGTCAGTATAACAATTGATATCTTAAAACTAAAAACTAAAACTAAATCTTATCTAATTATAAAGGGAATTAATCGTTGCAATTGAGGATTGCAACGATTTTTGCCTGAAATTATTCATTATTTTGTTGGACATTTGTTCTAAAGTCTCAACATTCGAAATTCTATGTACCTCAGTAGTACTGTACCAGGGAGGCAACTTCAAAATCATTTTCAGAACTTTGTTCTGAATCCTTTGAAGTGCTTTTTTCCTGGTAGTGCAACAACAAGACCATATTGGCACAGCGTAAAGCATGGCCGGTCTAAAAACTTGTTTAAATATTAGAAGTTTATTCGTCAGGCAAAGTTTGGATTTCCTGTTAATAAGAGGATACAAACATTTTATATATTTGTTACATTTGGCTTGAATGCCCTCAATGTGATCTTTAAAAGTTAATTTTTGGTCAAGTATTAATCCAAGATATTTCACTTGGTTTGACCAGGAAATTGGAACTCCGTTCATAGTGACTATGTGACTACTACTAGGTTTCAAAAACGAAGCTCTAGGCTTATGTGGAAATATTATAAGTTGAGTTTTGGAAGCGTTGGGAGAAATCTTCCATTTTTGTAAATAAGAAGAGAAAATATCTAAACTTTTCTGCAGTCTGCTGCAAATAACACGAAGACTTCTTCCTTTAGCGGAAATGCCTGTGTCATCAGCGAACAAAGATTTGTGGCAACCCTGAGGCAAATCAGGGAGGTCCAAAGTGAAAATGTTATACAATATAGGGCCAAGAATGCTATCCTGAGGAACTCTTACTCTAAAAGACAGTCGTTCAGATTTGGAATTTTGATAATTTACCTGCAGAGTTCTGTCAGTTAAATAATTTTGAACTAATTTCATAACATAGAGCGGAAAATTAAACTTTTTCAATCTAGCAATCAAACCTTCATGTCAAACACTGTCGAATGCTTTTTATATGTCTAGAAGAGCAACTCCAGTTGAGTGGCCTTCAGATTTGTTTGAACGAATTAAATTGGTAACTCTTAAGAGTTGATGAGTAGTTGAATGCCCATGGCGAAATCCAAACTGCTCATGTGCAAAAATTGAGTTCGTATTGATGTGAAGCATCATTCTATTTAAAATTATCTTTTCAAAAAGTTTACTTATTGAAGAAAGCAAACTTATTGGACGGTAGCTAGAAGCTTCAGCTGGATTTTTATCCGGCTTCAAAATTGGAACAACTTTTGCATTTTTCCATTTATCAGGAAAGTATGCCAAATGGAAACATCTGTTAAATAATTTTACCAAGAAAGACAAGGTACTCTCAGGGAGTTTTTTGATGATGATATAGAAAATTCCATCATCACCTGGAGCTTTCATATTATGAAACTTTTTAGTTATAGACCTTACTTCGTCCAAATCAGTCCCCCAGAAATCATCAAAAATATTTTCCCGAGAGAAAATATTCAGAAAATCCCCAGCAACCTGATTCTCAATAGGACTAGTAAGACCCAAACTGAAATTATGGGAACTCTCGAATTGCTTAGCAAGTTTCTGAGCTTTTTCCAAATTTGTGATCAAAATTTTACCACCTTCTTTAAGCGCTGGAATAGGCTTTTGAGGTTTTTTCAAAAATTTTGTGAGTTTCCAAAAGGGTTTGGAACTCGGGTCTAATTTAGAAATATTATTTTCAAAAGTTTTGTTCCTCAGGGCAGAGAATCGCTTTTTAATTTGTTTTTGCAAATCCCGCCAGATAACTTTCATGGCAGGATCGCGTGTTCTTTGATATTGTCTCCTACGGACATTTTTAAGACGGATCAAGAGCTGAAGATCATCGTCTATTATAATTGAATCGAATTTAACCTCGCATTTTGGTACTGAGGCAGCTCTTGCTTCAACTATAGAAGTAGTCAGAGATTCAAGAGCATAATTAATTTCATCTTTGGTTTGCAAAGGAATGTTTGGATCGAAGTTATATTCCATAAATGTTGGATATTGCTCCCAATCAGCTCTATGGTAATTGAAAGTAGAGCTGTTGGGATTACAAATTATTTCTTGGGATATTTCAAAAGTTACTGGAAGGTGATCAGAACCGAAGTCAGCATGGGTAACCAGTTGGCTACAAAGTTGACATGAATCAGTTAAGACCAAATCAATAGTGGAGGGATTTCTTGCAGAAGAAAAGCATGTTGGGCTGTTTGGATATTGAATAGTGTAATAACCTGCAGAACAATCATCAAACAGAATATTACCATTGGAATTGCTTTGAGCATTATTCCATGAGCGGTGTTTTGCATTAAAATCACCAATAATGAAGAATTTAGACCTATGACGGGTAAGTTTCTGGAGGTCACCCTTGAGGAAATTCTTTTGCTGGCCTACGCATTGGAATGGCAAATAGGCAGCTATAAACGTAAGTTGTCCAAATTTTGTTTCAACAGAAACTCCCAAAGTTTCAAAAACTTTGGTTTCAAATGAAGAAAGAATTTTATGTTTGATTCGTCTATGAATAATGATGGCAACGCCACCACAGGGTCCATCAAGACGATCATTTCTATAAATCAAGTCATTTGCGTCCTTCTTAACCTTATGGTCAGGTTTAAGGAACGTTTCAGTTATAACGGCAATATGCACGTTATGAACTCTCAAAAAGTTAAATAGCTCGTCTTCATTATCTTTAAGAGATCGAGCATTCCAATTTACAATATTTAATGCTTTAAAATCCATTACTGAATTTTAAAGTCATGACAATATTATTTGCAAATTTTACTCCAGTTTGAATAGCATCAAACATGGAGCTAGATTTAAGCATATCAGAAATCATGTCAATTAATGATTTCTGTAAAAATTCCATTTTAGGGGCAGTAATGCTTCCTAAGTCAAAATTGTCAAAATTTCCGTTAGAACGTTGGTTAGTATTTTGATTTCTACCCACTGCAATAGCAGCATAGGTAGCTCCATTAACTCGCTGAACATTGTTAGCAGCGAGGGGAGTAGGTACAGATGAAACATTTGAAGCAGGGGAGATATTTGTACCTACGGGTACGAATGTAGAATTTATTCCTCGCTGACCGTTGTTAACAGCAGAGGAATTTGTACCTGGTCGGAAACGTGGAGCGTTTCCTGCCTGACGGTTAGAACGAGATTGTAGGATCGCTTTGCGAGTCTTACATTCCCAAAAATTGGATTTGTTGTTTTCACCACAATTTGAACATTTAAATTTCTTAGGATCTTCCTTCACAGGACAGTCTCCTTTGCGTGAGAGGAATCACCACAATTCATGCATTTAGCTGGCATGTAGCAATTTTTAGTTCCGTGACCCCATCCCTGGCACTTACGGCACTGGGTGAGGTTTTGGAAACTTCCTCCAGTCTTCCTGAAGTGTTCCCACTTCACTCGGACATGGAGCATAAGGCTAGCTTTTTCTAAGGCCTTAAGGTTGTTCAGTTCACTAGACTTGAAGTGAACTAAATAAAAATCATTAGAAATCCCGTTGCGCGAATCGCCAGGACGGGATTTCATTTTCATTTTGATTACTTGGAGTGGCACAACTCCAAGTAATTTTGCCAGTTCATCTTTGATCTGATCCAGGGATTCACCACTGGGCAATCCTTTCATGACAACCTTGAACACACGTTCAGTTTTGGTGTCGTAAGTAAAAAATTTGTGCTTCTTCTCAGTAAGATACTTGAGAAGACATTTAAATCCGTCCAAGGTTTCAGCCAATACACGGCATTCACCCCGACGTCCAATTTGTAGTGAAAACTTAACTTTCACGAAATTCAAAAGTTCCATGCGAAGAGCATGGAAATCGGTAGTGGTTATCACAATAGGGGGAATCTTTTCCTTCTTGGCATTAAGCCGGGAAAGTTTACTAGAATTTTTCTTGGATGATGGATCATTCTCATCATCCGT